ACAAAGTGGTGGAAACTGAAAGGGGAGACGTCAGAGGTATTTAGAGAAAGGGTTATCAAAGAGGGTTCTTGGAAGAAAGAAGATGACATAAACAACATGTGGGAGAAGATAGCAACCAACATTCGGAAGGTGGCTTCAGAGATGTGTGGAGTAACCAAAGGAACTGGAGGCGAGGCTAAAGATACTTGGTGGTGGAACGAGGAAGTCCAAAGGGCTATTAAGGAGAAGAAAGAATGCTATAGGCGCTTGTACCATGACAAGAGTGTGGACAACATAGAGAAGTATAAGGTAGCAAAGAAGACTGCAAAGCGAGCTGTAAGTGTGGCAAATGGTAGAGCGTACGAGAATCTTTACCAACATTTGAGTACGAAGGAAGGAGAGAAGGACATTTATAGGATGGCTAGGGTTCGTGAGAGAAAGACAAGGGACTTCAACCAAGTTAAGTGCATTAAGGATGAAAAGTAGCATCTCTTGGTGAAGGAGGATGAGATCCGACATCGATGGCAAGAGTATTTTGACAAATTGTTCAATGGTGAGAATACGGACATAACCTTTCCGTTGGACGACTCTTTTGATGACACCAATAGGCGCTTTGTGCGGAGAATCCAAGAATATGAGGTCAGAGAGGCATTGAAAATGATGAAGGGAGGTAAGGCGATGGGACCGGATGGTATCCCAATCGAGGTATGGAGATGCCTTAAGGACATAGCTATAGTATGGCTAACTAAGCTGTTCAACCATATTTTTCGATCGAATAAGATGCCTGACGAGTGGAGAAGTATATTGGTACCAATCTACAAGAATAAAGGGGATATTCAAAGTTGTACTAATTACCGGGGAATTAAGTTGATGAGCCATACTATGAAGCTATGGGAGAGAGTTATCGAGCATCGCTTGAGAGCAATAACGCGGGTCTCTATGAATCAATTTGGTTTCATGCCCGGAAGGTTAACCATGGAAGCCATTTTCTTAATAAGACAAGTTATGGAGCGGTATAGGGAGAAGAAGAAGGACCTATACATGGTTTTTATTGACTTGGAGAAGGCTTATGATAAAATACCAAAGAATGTTATATGGTGGGCTTTGGACAAACGTAAAGTCCCAACGAAGTACGTCGGGCTCATTAAGGACATGTACAACAATGTTGTGACTAGTGTTCAAACAAGTGATGGAGACACGGATGACTTCTCGATTAGGATATGACTACATCAAGGGTCAGCTTTGAGCCCTTATCTGTTTGCCTTAGTGATGGATGAGGTCACAAGGAACATACAAGGGGACATCCTTTGGTGTATGCTTTTCGCGGACGATGTAGTGCTAGTTGATGAAAGCCTGACAGGAGTGAATCAGAAACTGGAGTTATGGCGGGAGACTTTGGAGTCCAAAGGTTTTAGACTCAGTAGAACTAAAACTGAGTATATGAGATGTGACTTCGGCACTACTACTCGGGAGGAGGAAGATATTAGTTTAGAAGGTCAAGTAGTGCCTAGGAAGGATACCTTTCGATATTTAGGATCAATGCTACAGAGAGACGGGGATATTGATGAAGATGTTAGCCATAGAATTAAAGCAGGGTGGATGAAGTGGCGCCAAGCATCTGGTGTCCTATGTGACAAAAGGGTACCACAGAAGCTAAAAGGCAAGTTTTATAGGACGGCGATTAGACCTACTATGATGTATGGTGCAGAATGTTGGCCTACGAAAAGACGACATGTTCAACAGATAAGTGTCACGGAAATACGTATGTTGCGTTGGATTTGCGGTCATACAAGAAGGGATCGAGTTCGGAACGATGATATACGTGATAGATTATGGGTAGCACCAATTGAAGAAAAGCTTGTCCAACACCGGTTGAGATGGTTTGGACATGTCCAACAGAGACCTCCAGAGGCACCGGTGCGTAGTGGAATCCTAAGCCTAGTAACGTAAAGAGAGGCAGAGGAAGACCGAAGTGGACTTGGGTAGAGACAATAAAAGGAGACTTGAAATGATGCAATATACCTAAAGACTTAGCCTTAGATAGGAGTGCTTGGAAAACAGCTATTCACGTGCCTGAACCTTGATTGCTTCTGCTGGGTTTCAACTCTAGCCTACCCCAACTTGTTTGGGACTTAAAGGCTTTGTTGTTGTTGTACTCATGGACAGAAAAAGAATTAAAATCAACTTTGCACCAGGCAATTGACTAATGTGGATGGCATCTTATTTGAAAACAAAATACTAATCCTTAACTTCTCAAGGAGCCCATCGGTCACTGTCAATGACTGGCTCTTCAATCAAATTGCTATATTAACTACAGAAATTTGAAATCCTATGAATGGAAGCTTGTTTTATCGTTATGTACACCTTAGGATCCTCTGCGTGGTCCTATCTGACTATAGTCAGAGCTCAGAATGGATGCTGGCTTGGTGACTCTGGAGGAAATGTCATTTCTTTTGGTTATTATGTCAACAAACTTTCTGTTTTCTTTTTCTCGAAAACGCAGGAGAGCTGCGCTTCATTATATTAAGAAGAAATAGGGGGTAAAGAACCCTTAGTACAACACACACCCACACACTTATCTTTATCTCATAAGATACATTTGCGCCGGTAAAGAAAGAAAAAGCGACCCTGCACCTACAACAAATCAACTAACAGCTTTGGCAGGGGCAGTCAAGTGGGATAGCCCACGAGCCCCAGCCATTGTCCACCGCCGACGCTCATCACCGGCCAACTTCAAGGTTTCAGCTATGTTAGGAATTGCTCCATCAAAGACGCAGCTATTGCGATGATTCCAAATTATCCATGCTCCCAGAACTATTAGGGAGTTCAAACCTTTTTGTGTTAAACCAGAAGTTGCTGCACTTGCTTTTTCCCACCAATCATCGAATGAAGTGTCAGATGGCTGTGGAGCTAGAGAGTGGAGACTGACCTGTCTCAATATGTAGTACCAAAATTTCCTTTAAAATACACATTCGATTAGGAGATGATCAATGCTTTCGTCTGCTTGATCACAAAGTGGACACTTCTCAGGATGAGGCAGTCCTCGTCGTGCAAGCCGATCTGAGGTCCAGCAACGCTTGTGCGCTACAAGCCATAGGAAGAATCGGCATTTAGCTGGCGCCCAAGTTTTCCAAATTCTTTCCCATGGCCTGAAAAGAATTTTCCCCATGAATAAGCTATCATATGCGGATTTGGCGGAGTACTGTCCACTATTTGATAATTTCCAAATGTGAGAGTCCTCCACCTCAGGTTGTAACTCAAAATCATAGAGGAGGTCCCATAGCTGAAAATACTCCATGATGACCCCCACTGCGAGAGCACCTTGGATGTCCGAGACCCAAGTCCGGTTGGTTAGAGCCTGCTGCACAGTACGCAACTTTCTTTCTCTGCGGAATCACAGCAAAGAGTCGAGGCGCGAGATCCTAAATGCAATGCCCATGAAGCCACCTATCAGTCCAGAACAAAGTATTCTCGCCATTGGCAACATCTGAAATAATTGCCATTGAACAAAGCTTCTGAACCTGAAAAGGTACCTGTATAGACAGTGCAGACCAAGGGCGGTGTGGCTCCTTTTTCTGTAACCAGAGCCATCTTGCGCATAACGCCCAGCCAAGATTTCTGAGATTGGAAATGCCCAACCCACCCAGTTCAGTTGGAGAGCAAGCTATCTCCCATGCCACAAGACAATGCCCTCTACGTGGTTCCTTGCGCCCTCTCGACAGATAGCTTCTTCGGATTTTGTCAATCGCTTTATTGGCCCATTGAGGCAAATCAATGTCCATCACAAGATAAATGAGCATCGCAGTAAGAACAAACTGCACATGGATTCGCCTCCCAGCTCGTGTCAACAAGTCCGCTTTCCATCCCGGTAGTTGATCAGCTATTCGGTCAATGATGACCTGAACATGCTCTTTTGTTAATCTTCGCAATGAGAGGGGTAAACCCAGATATTTGCATGGAAAATCAGATAATGCATAAGGGAGTTGCTGTTGCAATCTCTTGTTCACCACATCTGATAGGAAGTACGTTACTTTTTTGTAGATTAGTCTTGAGCCCAGATGCTGCACCAAACAGCTGAAGGATGTCCATAGTGACAGCAATATCAGCGGCATTTGGATGAAGAAATAAAACAACATCATCCACATACATTGAGATGTGATGTTGCAAAGCAGATCTTGATAATGGTTGCGGCAAGCCTAGCTCAGCTGCTTTTGAAATCATATGCCCCAGCACATCCATGACCAAAATGAATAACATTGGAGATAGGGGGTCATCTTGTCTCTATCCTCGCCAATGAGATATTCGCTCACCGGGGATCCCATTCAAAAGCACTTGAGTAGAGGAAGAGCATAGCAGTCCACTGATGATGTCCCTCCATATTTGTCCGAAACCCAAGTGTTGCATGACCTCAAGTAAGAAGGGCCAAGCGACCGAATCAAAAGCCTTTGAAATGTCAAGTTTCAGTAAAATACGGGGCTGTTTTTGTTGATGCAGAAATCGCGCCGTCTGCTGCACTAACATGAAATTATCTTGTATGAAGCGCCCTTTGATGAAGGCACTTTGATTAGGAGATACCACTTGGTTTAATTGACCTGCCAATCGATTAGCCAATAATTTGGTTAAGAGCTTGGCAAAGCTGAACAAATAAATGATTTTATGCTTCTATATATTGCATACTTGAACTCAAATGAGCTGCTAAATGTCTGTTTGAAATAATAAAATACTGCATTAACAAAAGCATGGCCTTTCTTTGTATTACTCTTGTTTCCGTACATATGAACTTTCCCTGAAGTGTTTAACAATCAACTGAACTTTTAAGGTGAACTTGACTAGACTTTTGATTTTACTAAATGTTGAACAATACTGCACACAAACTTTATTCATTCATTGAAGCAATGTTTTTAAGGCGGTAAAGCGAGGCGAGGCGACCAACTACCGCCTTACGCTAAAGCGAGTAAGGCGTAAGGCGAGGCGACGCCTTACGGCCATCCAACAGTAGTATAGACTAGAGAACTGGAAGCATGTCATACCGTGGTGTTGTCCTCTCATGTGCAGCCCGCTGCTGTCCGGCTCGAAAGAAGAGGCCACAAGCAAGTAGAAAAATACAGAGCAGAGGAATCAATCAGTACCTGCTGAGCAAAGGAGGCGGCTCGACAGAAGACTTCAGGAGGTGGCTCGGCGGACCAGAGGAGGCGGAGGACCAGAGCAGCGGCGGACCAGAGGAGGCGGCTCGGCGGAGGACCAGAGCAGCAGCGGACCAGAGGAGGCGGCTCGGCAGACGGGTAGAGGACCAGAGCACCTGCCGCGGCCCCGCGGGAGGCTGGTCCTCGCGGCTCGGCGGCAGCGACTTCTCCCGGCGGCGCGGGAGAACGCGTCCGTGCGGGCGAGGTGTGGCTTTCGGTTCTTCCCCTGCTCTCCCGCTCGTTGGTAGGTCCGCTTCTCCCGCGCGCTCCTCTCTCCGCGCTCTATTTCTCCCGCGCGTCTCTCTGCGCACACCAATTTCTCCCGCGCGCCCACTCTTTTCCCCGCCCTTTCTTCCGCGATTTCCCGCCGCCTAGAAACGGACCCCTGTATGGCGCCCGCCACGCACGATTAGGCGCGAATCGGACGCCAAATAGACGACTTCCGGACGCCATGGTAGTAAGGCGGACGCCATACCAATCTGAGGCGAGTCGTCCGCCAAGTCGTCCCGCCTGTAGCGCCTTGCCGATTAGGCGACGCCAAAGCGATGCCTTAAAAACATTGCATTGAAGTACTTGGCTGGCTATTGGTTAGTTATTGACTATATACTTTGGCATCTAAATTTTACGATCAAGTATTCACATGTCGTTCTGTGTAGAATTTGAATCTATTACCAGTTGATTAATTATACTGTAAATGTTATCAGGATGTCATGGTTTTGGTAAACTTCTATTTTCAGGGATCCAAAATTTCGGATAAGTCACATAACCAGGAAACAACAGATCTACACAAATGTATTTCTCGTATCCATCATCGTACGCCTGATCATGAAAAACCCAATGTAAGTAGCAATCGCATTATTTGGTCTTGATACTTCTCTTGTTTCTTTTTCCTACTTGTTGATATTTTCTATCAATATTAGACTCACATCTGTACAAAATTCATTGGCAATGGAACTTACTTTTCCCATCAAATACTGTAGCTCTGTGTGCTTGTTACTGGAGCACTAGGTGGAAGGTTTGATCATGAGGCGGCAAATATCAATGTTCTGTATCTGTTTTCGGACATGAGGATTGTCCTCCTATCAGATGATTGCTTGATTCGACTTCTTCCGAGAACACATCACCATGAGCTCTATATTGAGTCGTCTGTTGAAGGACCCCATTGTGGGCTTTTTCCTGTTGGAGCACCATCAACAAGCACCACAACTACTGGCCTAAAATGGAATCTAAGTAAATTTCTTTTTGCTCTGTTGGTCATAAACTTGTGGAAGTTCTGGATTGAACTGCACGGATTACTGGACTTATCTAACAAATCAAATTAATGTAGATTGTGTGGAAACACTGAAGATTTAATGGACGAAATAAAATGAAGTACATATAAATCAAGTTTATTCATGAAATATTAATCTAGTGCAAAATGAAATACTCTTTGCTGACATTTACATAAGCATCTAATTCCGTAATGATCAGTTTCCCTCTCGGTTTTCATGGGGGATGTACATGAACAGAGTAGGATTTTTGTTTTGTTTCATTTATATTTGGACCACTAAGATCAAAGGTAGTATTGATTCTTTTCCCCGCTTCCAGGTGAATCAAAGATGAGATTTGGGAGCATGATAAGCACATCCAACATTGTGCAGTCGGAGAAGGTAACTGTAGAATCTGATGCAGATCTTTTGTGGACAATTTCTCTGCGAAATCTGACAAACAGTTCCTAGATAGTTATCATTTTTCCTTCTCTTTCCTGTCAAGTGGCAACCAAGCTCCTGTACAGCTGTTTTTGTGTTCATGAGTTGTGTGTCTGGTAAATAAATATCCAGCCTGTTCGCTTGTTGGTTTCAGCCAGAGCTTATCATCTAGTGTTTTTCTCTCACAACAAACCAGCATCAGCCGGGTTTATCAGCCCAGAAACCAACCAGCGAACAGACTCATCGGCTGATGACTAATCGATGAAGTCTTATCATCAGATAGGATGTCTAGCACGATCTTGAACTGCTGATGAATTATGTGAATAACACAAGCAGGCATGATAGTTTCCTCTCTAGTTGTATGACTGTATTGTTGTATTTGCAAGGGGGTTTCTTGTATAAAAAGAGTTCTCAACAGTTCACACTGTTTGGTTGGATTTTGTTATGATAATGAGTCTGGCAATTGAGTACAGTGCTATATGCTACTCCATCCATTGCTTTTGATATGCATTAGACATAATGTATATCTAAGTGCATAATAAAAACCATGTCTAAAAAGGCCAAAATCTCTTTATAATTGGAATGGAGGGAGTACATACTTAATTGCTTACGATAGAATTTGGTCTTCTACTTTTCTTTTTGAGAAATTTTACGGTGTCAGGGAATTGTAATATCTAGTTAGGAAAAATAGATTAAGGGTAAACTTTTTTTTTCAAAAACTCAGCAAGAGAATTGCTGAGCAAATCTATTAGAAGGGGAGTAAAAAAAACCCAACCTTTCCAAATAAAAACATAACACACCACACACTGCAGAGAAGAAGAAAAACAAGAAAACTGCTACTGCTACGACTATCGGGCAAAGGAAACAACCAATGTCAATGTCCTGGGTGGCCGCTACAACAAGAGCCTCTCACACCGCTAAAGAGTAGAGGGTCATTTCATCTTGGATTCATATCTCTTCGTCAACTTCTTGTCTCTGGCGTACAGTGGCGGATCCAGGATTCTGAACTTGAGTTTCCCAATTCTGGAAAAAAAATTCAATGCATAGCAGCATAATAAGTTTCAAATATAGGTCATGTTCGCTTCTCTTCTAATCCGTACTTTTGAGCTTATTTTTTCAGCTGAAACAGTATTTTCTCTCACAACAAATCAGTCGGAACAGTGTTTCGGCTTGTTTTTTTTTCAGCGAAGCGAACAGGGCCATAGTTCATAGTAGTATTTTACCATAATTAAAGTCACAAAAATAACGAAATAACAAGTTGTTCATACATAAGATAGACATGGAAGTATGAAACAAACTAATAAGTAATAAACTAATAAAAGAAACTTACAAAATAGATGGAACAATAGATTTTTTTTTTGAGTGGAAGATGGGACAATAGATAGAACAATCGGACCTTGAGGTTGGGCCTCACTACCCATGCCCACGGTAACTGGCAGTGATGTGGAACCTAAATCTACCTTTCTTGTCTTTGCTGAACAAACTCTTCAAATCAACTGATTTCTTCTTCATTTTGCAAATCAATTAACCAACGGTAATCTACACAAAAAATATATGCACACTATTAAATAAAAGTCACTAGCACACATTCAAATTCCTAAATCCAAAATCCAAATCGGTAACTAACTAAATCCCTCACCAAACACACACTGCAGGCAGTAGGCCTGGTGGGCGTGGCCGGTCTCCTGGCTGCCGGCGCTGCCGCACCCCGTGTTGGGCGCTCCGCGCCTCCACCGGCGGCGTCCGCCCGTCCCCTGTCTGGCTACTGGCCACTGGCCAGCCCTAGCACCTAGGGCCAAAGCGGAGCGGCAAAGCCCCAGATGAGAAGTCAATCTCTTTTAAATTTGACTAGTTATTATATAAAAAATAGTATCAGTATTTGTATCTTCAAGTAAATTTATTATAAAAGTAAGAAGTAGGCCATATACATTATTAGTTGAAAAAAAGAAAGAATCTAGTCTTTGATCAGACAAAATGGAAACAAGTCAAAATATAAGAGAGATTTATGCAGCGATGCTAAAGGACAGATTAATGTCAAAAAGGTAATTTCCACTTCCTACGAATGCTCAAGACACTAGAATCTCGCAATAAACTTGCCATGATGCATGAGCCACATTCAGATATTGCCTAATAGCAGTAAACTGCCATAAATTAAATATGATCCCTACTCCCCCAATAGAACATCAATATTTAATTTAAAACTCTAGTGATGACTAAATCAAAAGGAACATCCATTCAATTGAATTTAACACTTAAATACAACTTGAATCATATCATAATGATGATTAAGAGCCTACATGATTATCAGGATATATGCATAGTGTTTGCACGTACGTACGATAGTTATACAAGCTATAATGTATTTTGTACAAGGACATGCATGCATCCGAGTTGCTCGACTAGCACATCTAGATCTCAGTCTCTATCTTTATCTCTCTCTACAACTAAAATATACAAGGGGAGACTTTACCCCGCAGGACGACGTGAGTAGCTCCGCTCCGCTCCGCCCGGCAGAATAAAATGCTCTTTCGCTATCTCACACACTTCCCGTATACTCCTTTTATCTCTAAATGCCACTTCCCGCAGACCCATCCCAACGCTCGTTGATAAAATGCCACCCGGCAAATAGCGGGCTACCTGGCACAAGTCATACATCATCGCCCCGCGTTGCTCTGCCCGGCTTCGCAGACTGCTCGTGACCCTCAAAACCTCCGACTATTTTTCCCTCGCCTGTCCGTGATCGCCAACTATGGTGATCGAAGGCTTTCCTTAATTCATTAAGAGTAAAGTCCACCGGTGATACTCGAACTCCTTCGGCTGTGTTATTTCGGTCTCTAAATTCGTAAATTAACCGTTTAGGTCTTCAAAAAATTTCATCTGTGTTATTTCGGACCCTAAACTCGCAAATCGCTCGTTTAGGTCTTCAAACTTGTTCGGTTCTGTCATCCCAGTCCTTAAACTTGTAAATCACCCGTTTAGATCCAGAAGCTTGGTAAGTTGTGTCATTCCGGTCTCTAAATGATGTAAACTTGTAAATTTAATATATATTTATAGAACTGTCCAAACATTATAAATCCAATTTTGTTAAACTCCCGGTAACACATACTTTCTGTTTTTATTTAACTAAATATATAGGCACATACATTTTTATTTGTTGTTCTGTGCTGTAAATAAATCCTATAAATTTACAGGAGTGTTCAGCAGTGCATGGGACTTCTTTTATTGTAATTTAAAGTACGTGTTACCTAGAGTCTAACAAAATTGGATTTAAATTTTTTGGAAATTCTATAAACATATATTAAATTTATAAGTTTACAACATTTAGGGACCGGGATGACATCACTTAACAAGTTTAAGGACCAAAAAGATGATGTACAGTCAAACGAGCTTGAGGACCTAAATGAGCGGTTTGCGAGTTCAGGGACCCAGATGACATAACTAAACAAGTTTGAGGACCTCAACAGTCAGTGTGTGAGTTTAGGGACTAGGATAACATAGCCGAACAAGTTCGAGGACTGCCAGTGGACTTTACTCATTAGCTATACATGGTCCTGGGCTCCTGGCTTAATCACGTGATTTATGCCCCCGTAACAGCTAGCGCCTAGACGCTAGCCCACGTCTCGATGCCCGCGCCTGCCTTGCCTCGTGCACAAGCTGTAGCGCCTACTCATGCCTGCTGCGTCTGCCCACCCGCCCCGCGCTTGTTGCTATGCCTACCGGACGTCCACGAGTCCACGCGCTCATTGGCCGAGCCTGTTCCGCGCCTACCCGACGTCCACGACTCCGCATGCTCGTGGGTTGAGCTCGAACTACGACCGGAGATGGAGGGGAGGGAGAGGAGAGGAGAGGGCGAGGGAGGCGCGAGGTAGGAGGCAAAGCCCTGCGGCAGGCCACCGTCCGCCAGCCATCGGTGCTATTGCAGCATGTGCAACACCCGATCTAATTTTGAAATATCCAGATAAAACATCTGCAACATACATATGAAGACAGATGAAACACTTGAAACATGCGATTGAAACAATACGTGTATAGCCATTTGCAATGCGTGCAACACCAAGATCTACTTTTGAAACATCCAGATGAAACATTTGCGCAATACGTCTAAAACACCTGAAACACTTGAAACATAAGCTTGCAACATGCGTATTTTGTCATTGCAATATATGCAACATCCAGATTTACTTTTGCAACATCTAGATGAAACACTTGAAATAAAAAGTCTAAAAACGCCTGAAACACTTGAAAACATACGTATGCAACATGCGTTTATTGTTATTGCAACATACGGAACATCTAGACCAAACATTTGAAACACGGTATCGCCGGCGGCCACAACCTACCTGGTGGTGAACTGCTGTAGCCAGTAAGCTTGGGTTAGTGTGAGACGTCGACCTAGCATACAACTCTGCTGCAGGACGTCTCGGACCGTCGCTCCCGCGATTATCCCACGCTTGCTCGCTGCCCAGGCTTGCTCCTATCAGCACGGCTTCTCCAGCGCCGCCGCTTCTCGACTGCAGTTGTCCATCCCCGTCCGGTCGTTAGAGATGGGGTGTGGCACAACCAACGATGGGGTGCGGTGCGGTGGGGGAAGGGCACGGCGTGACGGGGGATGGGTGCGCGCGGTGAGGGAAGGG